CCAAAAACAGCAACAAAAGACAAGGACACACAAAAAACACATATGTATTAAACAAATGGTAAATTACGAACAAAAAATCGAAGCCTAACCACAACAGCAACAAAATGAAACAAACAAGACAACAAACTATATATACTTGCATATTAAACAAATTATATGAAATTATATAAAATGATGTTGATTATTGATTTAAATTAAAACTGAGAAAGTGAATAAAACAAATTATATATACACCTATATATATAAAAATATTAAACAAAACAAAAGCAAAAAATTTTATTTGTGTTTTCCTTTTAGTTGGTACAAACATATTTGTTCACACAGCGTTACACTGAGCCAAACGACGTGTAAGTGTTAGCCCAAAACGACATGTACATACACACAGCCAACACCCACACACCCACACCCACACATGACAACACCCACACTGAGACACCCACGAACTGACCAAAAGCAAGTCGAAAATATGAATGTATTATAAAATACACACGCAATGGTGTTGTGTGTATAAAATAACCGTTAGTTATGTAATTAAATTATTTTCGAAAACGTTCTCAAAGCAAGCAGAATGCAGCGCATAGCCCATCACAAAAGCACAAATCAGTAGAGGAAATCAGAGTGGACGGAAGTCGGAAGAGAAGTTAAAATAAGAAACTATGAAATAGGCCTCAGAAAAACAAAACACTAAAGAAACAAAATACTGTAGCTGTCCATGTACTTTTATTTTCTAGATATGTATGTATGTAATTATATTCGATAAATCAGGCATTATGCATTTAACAACCAGACAAAAGCATAAACACGGAACTAGGGTTCACTATCGAAGCAGATCAAAAGATCAGGATCAGGATCGAACATCCTACCATTCACCATAGTTACAGCCCGATTCCACTGACAAAATCTGGGATCCAGTAGATTTATTTTGATTGACACTGTACACTGGACTAATTTGCGAGTGAATCTATATCTGTGGAATCGGGATACATATAGAGCGCACCTGAGGGAACGATCGAGTAGTGAGTAATGAAAATGAATAACGACAAATACAAGATATAGAAATATGCGTTATAGGTTCAACAGACCCAAGATATAGGACAATGTTTGATGTTGATATGAGTTAATCTGGCCACCTAGAGTGCGCATTATATGCATAGATACGTACATACATACATAATGCAGATGAAAAGGCCCTCTGATGGGATCATTTTATAACCAGCGACCGGATGGGGGCACAAAACATTATACATAACCATTGACAGCACCGCATAGTATGAACACAGCATACGGTTTACATATAAATATCCACATAACCAAGCGATATACACACGGACATAAGGTCCACGTACTTCTCACAGGAGATCTCCATCCTTCGGTTCAGATCCAGGACTCTATATACCCACATATACACTCTCATCCAGCACTTACACTCGCGGATATAATTTTATGACTCTTTCCGGAGTTTTGTTGTTTACGATAAACTGTTTATAGCTGTTTTTGAATTTTAAATAAATTATATTTACTATATGGCAAAACAAAGAATAACACTAAAACAAAACCATATATGATAGTAATATATGTTTTAAATGCTATTACCAAACGAATCTTGAATTGAGGCTTCGCAATCAGAGTTGCAAGCGAAAGAATATTATTGAATAAACTGCATATATATACATACTATAATGCAACTGTATTGCAAGACAAGCATAGCATTTTATTTCCGAGACAAAAAGAATTTAACAAGACATACACACACTTGAACTCTGACACCTGTGTACGGTTAGCGGTAATCGCAGGTGAGCCCGAGGGCCACAAAATGATATTGCAACAACCGTACCCCCAACAATAAAGAGCCCCAAAACAACAGCAACAGATAGGTGATCTATGTAAATCACTAGCGATGTGAACAACACAGATATACACAGATACACAAGAACTAACATATGTGAAATGAAACGAGGAATGTTTATAAACAATAAACAAATGTTTGAAAACTAACAATCTTTGTTTCTTTATCCCGGGTCTTTCCGAATGCTTGTTGCTCGCCCTATCGCACTTAACGATAACTAAAGTCGGATTAATAGTTCAAAATGTTGAAGCATACATGGAGCTGATAATATACAAAATGTTATCTATTTTGTTGTGGTTCTGTTCTAAAGTAAAATCTTTGTTGGTGATAATAATTTTATTTTTGTATAGCCACAAAATTAGCAATTAAATATTTTTTTTAAATATAATTTTTGAAGAAAACGTTGTAGTTTCCTTGAAATATAATATACCTTCGTTTTATAGTAATTCGCCGAAATAAATAAATAACTACGAAATAACTACAGTAATGGCACCATTCAAAAATTTTAATTTTATTTAATTTTTTAAGAAAAAGTTATAGTTTCCCTGAAATATAATATTACTTGGTTTTATAGTAATTCTCCCAACTAAATAAATAAAAACGATCTATTTGGTATTATTATGGCTAGAAATACTATACTCTTGACCGCATCTGTAAATATATATGTAGAATTATGTTGCTAAGATTAGCTTCAAATTTAGCTGACATGTACAAATTTCTTCCAAGCCAGAACGTTCTTATCAACGGTTAAGCTTCATATGAAGGCACAAAGTATGGTTAGTTCTAAAGCTGAATCAAGGGAAGGCGGATGTTTTTTTTTAATTGGCGAAACGAATCGAAATATTAGATACGCTTCGGCATTATCGATAGCCCGATTATTTTAGAGTAGACTGTGCATTGTGTTTACAAACTTCAATTCACCAGGATTGAACTTATTAAAAGGAAAGCCTACTTGTCACAAGTTAATTATCGGAAGGAAATGCGTTTAAAAATGCCAGCAAACACTAAAATCACATTGGGATGCTTTAATGAACTAATTATAAATGAGTAGGCGAGGATCCAATAATTACCCATTTAAACATGCATAATACGTATTAGTACAGAACTATACGGCCACGAACATAAAGCGATAACCAAAAAAATTCTAAAACAAGAATATGAAAGAAAAACAGCAACATCTCAACGATGTGTCCACGGTTCGCATCTTAATGCTGGGCGATAGAGGTGCGCTAAATGAAATATAATAGTTGGCTAAAGTTAATTGTATCTTGCATTTCATCTTTCCAGGAGTGGGAAAGACTAGTCTGACCAATTTGCTGGCCAGTAGTGAAATAACGCCCACACCCGCTTCTCGCACCGTGGGCGAGGGATCCTGGAATGTCCAGGTGCGGCTACACGAGTATCCCAACTCGATGGACCTGCCTCCCTCGCCCACCTGGACCTCGCCCTCTTCCTCGGAGCGCTCCGAGAAGTTCCCGTATCCCCCGAGTACGCCCAGTGATATCCTGTATTTCGTGGAATTCTACGATCTGAACAGCGATCTGCGCATGCGTCGCGATCAGCGCGATAGTTTCTATAAGAACATCGATGGCATTGTCCTGGTCTACAATCTGCAAGACCTGCGCTCGCAGGACAATCTGCACGATTGGCTGTACGAACCGTTGCGTCAGATTTGCAAGCATCGCCACCGACGCACAAGGCCCATTTTGAGGCGCCAGCATGTTCCCATCCTGGTGGTGGGCACCAGGTTGGACAAGCTGGTCCGCCGCCCATTGCGTCGGGGTGGGAGCATTGCCCACCAGTTGGCGGCCGACGAGATCCTCCTAAACTGCCTGGATTCCGAGAGCTTCGCGGACAAAGGCCGCAATCAGGGCAAGCTGCGCGGCTTCCTAAATCGCGTTGTCGAATTCAAGGAGCTCTTTCCACTCTCGAATCCCCGCCACCTTTAAAAAGATCTCAGTTTATATTTTCTAGTTTGTTTTTAATAATATTTATGGAAAATACTTGTCGGCATATTTTGATTTTCTAGCAGATGGTAAGAATATGGTGTGTGTCTTCCCCGTTGTTTTTAGCTATGGCTTTATTATAGGTTGAAATTAGAGGTATCTTTATGGTTTCAATAAAGTTATCATGGGCTATAGTCCTTTAAATTGTGTATTTTTTCATCATATTGAAAAAGATCAAAAAGCTTCAAATTTGGTAGATACTTCTAACAACTAAAAAGATCTTTCAGGATACTACACATTTATGTAGAAATTTGGGTTACGGTCCTTACTTTCATACAAAACCCAACCCCTCCAGGGGTAAAAAACTAACTAACTAACTAACTCCTATACAAGTAAACAAAATAAGAATGGTTTTTAATTTTACATTTACTTTTATATTTCTCTTGGAGTTCTTAGAGTCCTTGGGATTACATGATCTTAGATCTTCTGGGTTTTATAGGATCTTCCTATCCCGGAGGCCACTGCATCTGGCGACCGCCGAGAAAGTGCAAATGCAAGTGATAAACGGACTGGGCACCGTGCTTGCCATTGTTGATGACCACACGGTATCCTTCCTTCAGGCCCAGATCCTTGGCCACCTTGCGTCCCACCAACATGAGATGTCCCAGCAGATCAGCATCTCCATCCTCAGCCAGCGAGAGTTGGGCAATCGGTTTGCGAGGGATCACCAGGAAGTGGGTTGGTGCCTGGGGAGCCACATCATGGAAGGCCACACACTAAATATGGTATAAAGATAATGCCATTTATTACCTATCTATTTAACCAGAAGACTTTGAACTCACCTTGTCATCCTCGTGGATAAAAGTGCATGGAATCTCCTTGCGCAAAATCTTTCCGAAAATAGTATCTTCACTGGCAGCTGCAGTCTGAGATTTTTCCACTTCGCTCGCCATTCTAGCACCACAGGTTGCTATATGTCGAGAACTACTATAATACAGGGTATATAATAGCTGCACTTTAGATAATTAAGCTGAAATCGCATGCACCCACCTGAAAACACGAAAGAAATTCCGGCCGGTCGTCAGAAACATCGAAAAAGCGCTGCCAACTGGGGTTTCAAAAAATCCATAGACAGCCCAAATTTGGGGTATTATAAGGCTCACAACTGCGTTCGTTATTATGTTATTTATTATTATTTAAAATAGAAGATATTACAGGGTAATACAAGACTTGAAGAAAATAGTATAGTTTTCTTTGAATTAAATTTAAGCTATGGACACCTAGCAAATATCCTAAACGGTAATATCTCACATATGGACTTTGGACCCTGCTGCAACATATGGAAATCATAAGATCACTAAACCAGTAAAACTACTCTTCTGACAAGATCCAGTTCCTTCGTGGCAATATTTTTGTGATAACACTGCAATATCATCTGCAAAGTCTGAAGGAGAAATCAGCTTTTGTGACGTAATGTCGCCTTTCACCTTATCGCAATAATAGCCCCGAGATTAGTTCAGAACTATCGGCTAGGTGCAAATTCCAATAATCCACTTGATATACTCGAGTAAACACTACTAGTTCCGAAATCGAGCAGCTGCCGCCTTGAAGGTGAAGGTGAAGAGTAACCCAGAGCCATGGCCACCACTGAGAAAGTCTCCACCGAGCGCAAGGCCAATCCGATTAAATCCTTCCTCACCGGAGGATTCGGAGGAATATGCAATGTGTTATCAGGTCACCCGCTAGACACCATCAAGGTGCGCCTGCAGACGATGCCCCGACCGGCGCCTGGCGAGAGTCCCTTGTACAGAGGAACCTTCGATTGTGCTGCGAAGACCATCAAGAACGAGGGAGTCCGAGGCTTGTACAAGGGAATGTCAGCCCCCCTGACAGGTGTTGCTCCCATCTTTGCCATGTGTTTCGCTGGCTACGCGCTCGGCAAGCGCCTCCAACAGCGCGGTGAAGACGCCAAGCTCACCTACTCCCAGATCTTTGTGGCTGGCTCCTTCTCCGGTCTGTTCTCCACCCTGATAATGGCGCCTGGAGAGCGGATCAAGGTTCTGCTGCAGACGCAACAGGGTCAGGGAGGCCAACGCAAGTACAACGGCATGATCGACTGCGCTGGAAAGCTCTACAAGGAGGGAGGACTTCGCAGCGTTTTCAAGGGCAGCTGCGCCACCATGCTCAGGGATTTGCCCGCCAACGGCCTGTACTTCCTGGTATATGAAGCCCTTCAGGATGTGGCGAAGGCCAAATCCCAGTCTGGCCAAATTAGTACTACCTCAACGATTGTCGCTGGTGGAGTGGCCGGCATGGCCTACTGGATTCTGGGTATGCCAGCCGATGTCCTAAAGAGTCGCCTGCAGTCGGCTCCCGAAGGCACCTACAAACACGGAATTCGCAGTGTCTTCAAGGACCTGATTGTTAAGGATGGTCCTTTGGCCTTATATCGGGGAGTTACGCCCATCATGATCCGTGCCTTCCCGGCGAACGCTGCCTGTTTCTTTGGCATTGAACTAGCCAACAAGTTCTTTAACATTGTGGCGCCAAATTTCTAGTTGAAAATAGGTGAAATAAATTTTAGTGTCTCACTAAAGTGTTTTTAAATACTAAACGAAATGGATCTATTATTATTCTCAATTTAAGGAGAGCGACTGTGGGGATTATAGTGGACTGTGCTTTCTGTTTATAACTAAACTTAAACGAAATATTGAGGCTTGCGCATGGTGATGCCATGATCAGCGAGAGCGGGAACCAGGTCTTCCATGGCCAGCGTGTACTTGCGATCCTTGGGGTTCTTTTTATCCTTGCTAGAACTGTGGCCACTGGAGTGCTGAATGTTCGTGGTGCGCGTCTTGCAGTGCTGCAGTGCATCGTTGGCAATGTCAGAGATGAATTTCTGGGCGGACACAGAGATGAGGCGCACTATTTGCGGGTCCACGGTGGAAAAGCCAGCCTGAAAGGGGGAAAGAATGTCAGTACCTGGTAATCTCCTGGCATATCCCATTAAATAGCTACCGTTTTCAGAGCGTGCATGGTCAGGGCGTCCGGAATGGTGGGTGTGTAGTCCTCTAGCTGTCGCAGAAGCTCATCCATGTCCGCTTCCTCGGCGGTCGCTGGCACCTCCTCCACTTCCAAGATCTCGTCGTCGGATTCGAAGTCGGAATTCCCATGTGGCGGATCCAACTCCTCGTCCTCGGTGTCCGTAGCTGAAGCCAGAGATTCAGCGGGTGTTAAATTGATGTCCTCCCCATCAGAAGCCATTGTTTAGCGATTTTGTATAGTTTATTTCTAGAAATTGTTGTTATTTTGGTTGTGCGCTTATCGCTTAGGCCTGGAAAAATAATCGATAGCATTGATGGCAAAATCTCGATGTTTCGAACATGGCTGTAGGCTGAAGAATTTTTGACAGGGATCGATAAAAATCTGTTTTAGTTCAAAAGCAAAATATGGATAAATCAATAAAGATATTTTTTCATTCTAGTTTTGTTAAAAATGAGATTTAATAATAACTAATAAGTATTAGTAGTTTGAGCAAACGGGTAAAGTTCCCCGGCCACACCCATGTCTCTTCCTATCGATAACATCCTAGTATTGGTCGAACGATAACTTTCATCTGTGTGCAATCAGCAAATTTCTGATTTTCTGTTTACAATGGTGGGCTCCAATTTTGGCATAATTTACCATAACTCCGCTGGTAGCGGCAATCAGGGCAACCATGGACAGTCCTCCGGAGCTGCCGGTGCAGGAGGAGATCGGGAGAGGAACACACCGGCCTCGCATCTTAGCGACTTCATGTCGCAGCTGGAGGATTACACTCCGTTGATTCCGGATGCGGTGACCTCGCACTATCTTAATATGGGCGGATTCCAGTCGGATGACAAGCGCATCGTTCGGCTGATCAGCCTCGCCGCCCAGAAGTACATGTCCGACATCATCGACGATGCACTGCAGCACTCCAAGGCACGAACCCATATGCAGACCACCAATACTCCAGGGGGCTCCAAGGCCAAGGATCGCAAGTTCACCCTGACCATGGAGGATCTGCAGCCGGCTTTGGCCGACTACGGCATAAATGTCAGGAAAATGGACTATAGTCAGTAGATAGAGGCTTACTTATGCCGTATGTTAGTAGTAGTAACTTTTTTCTCAAAGATGTTAACCCATCCACGATTTTGTAGTTCTATATCCTATGTATAACCAGTAAATATATGATACCGTCAGCTACGTTTGTAACCAAATGTTGATGAAATCGGAAATAAATACCTTTTAATCCCTTCAATAATTACATTACTGTGTATAAAAGCCTGAGAGCTGTTGTTAAATTTGTATTTTCAAAGTATCCTTCAAGTGTTAGGGATTTAAGTCCATAGTATTACATATCGAGCATATACAAGGTAATTTTTTATTTTAAATAAGTATATCCGAAGTCTATTAACTAGGTGGCTAATACTAAGCGCTTGTTCATTGGCATGTTATGAATTTCCTGAAGCTGCGCGCTGTTCCCCCAGCCACTCGGAAGGCCAGGACGCCCGTGAATATGGTGACTATGTAGTTGATCAGCAGAGTGGCGGTATAAAGCTCGTTGGCATTGAGCAGGGTAATCAGGGAGACAAACAGGTGGCTGCCCACCACATAGGCTATGTGGAGGTAGTTGTTCGTGTCGAAGGCGTTGAAGAATATGACGCTCCAGAAGGTGTGCAGCAGGATGATGGACAGAGCCTGGGCAGCCGAGGTGACGAAAAAAAGCTCCGTTCCGCTTTTCAAGCCCATGGTTCCAGGGCCACTCTACAAATCGGGAGATATCATTATAGGGAACATACTTAACATGAAAGCCACTCACCATATCAGCCAGCACATTGACCAGCGCAAACATTCCGGATATAATCCCGAATCCCAGGCCGGAGACATAGGCCAAGATGTGCTTGTTGTCCGTCACTCTCGTATCCTCCGCCACGGCGTGCAATCCTTGCTCCGTGCTGCGCAGGATCCTGTAGATAATGTACCGGAAGCCCTCTTGGAAGAACACCGAGAAGACCACGCCGAAGGCGATGAAGTCCTTCAGCGGAATGATGGCGTACCACAAGGACGAGATCAGCAGCGATAGCAGCCAGAAGAAGGCCGCCGCTATGAGGATTATGATCCGCACCGGGTCATTGGCGATGGTGAAGACGAACAGGGCGAAGGGCGGTCCGAAGGCGATGAAAGTGCAGCCAAAGAACTCGGGCAACGTCATCTTTTCTTTGTAATATTCCTGGTCTGGTTTTTTCGCTTGGATTGTGGGTGTTTTGGTTTACGTGGGAAGAGGAAGCAGAAACTGACAAGCGAACCGAGAGTTGCCAGACCGTTGCAATGCTGCTGGGGATGCCACCCTGTGCGGTTCCATTGTTTTTATACCCTACACAAAGCAAATAGTTTTGGTTTTAGGTACAGCTCGATTTTCAAGAAAGCTTCTTAACATAAGAACAAACTCTACACTATCATAGCAATTGCAAATGAGTGTAGGTACAATTTTATTTCTATTAGCCATCCTCGCTTTAAGCTTTTAACTACAGAGAGTATACAAACTATATAAAGGGTATAAGCTGACCGGACATGACAATTAATAGTTTTGAGGGATGCCAGATTACAGCACTGCAATGTTTTCATACCCTACTGTGTAGAGTCCGTTTATTTTGAAAATAACTTGTTGCAAAAGTTCTATATATAAACATGAAATATGTAAGAACACAAATTTTATTAATGAAACAAGACAAAACTAAATTGGGTGACCTTTATAGAAACATTTGCATGTTAGGACTAAGATTTATCTCCACGTTCCCCAAATACCTCCCCCGCGTAGGGTGTTCGGAGGGTCGCCTATGCGCGATTCACCCGCTCTAAACAAAGGCCTCCATTCCACTTGCAATATTTTTGTTTGGGGCGGGATTAGTCACTGTAAATTGACTCAACTCGGCCGCACTATGCGAACTGCATAATCCGCCGTAAACCAGAAGCGAATTGCAAGTGCCCAGCAGCAGATCGAAAACAGAAGCCCAGCGGAAGAACACAAAGAGTTTTAAGAGACCCCATATGCCCAGTGAGTAGAGTGAAATCTCCAATTAGCAGGTCTCTGGTGATTAACTTTGGTGGTCTTTTCACTTTTCCAGTTCACGCCGTGATGGCCAAGCGCCTGCTGCCCCACCAACCGTCCTACGAGGGGGACGCACCTGGTCCGGATGAGCTGGACAGCCCAGCCATCGAGGCGGCGGCCCTCGACATTCCCGCACCCGAATCTGATAAGGCGCTTCAAAAGGGTTTGTATAATCATAATCTTCCGTGACTAAAGGGCTTGTATAATTATAATCTCCCGTGACTACATAATATTACCCTGGAACCTCCACACTTGAGCTTTGCATCATTTCTTTGGGATACTTAGGACTGTTTTCCATTTTATAGAGTAGTTTCTCATTTGAAACTTGAGAGAAAAAAGAAATGATCTTGCCAAAAAGGAGAAGTCTGAGAGATAAATATCTGATCATATGAGTACTGGTGATAATGTTCTTGTTGAACATCTATAGATGCTCTATAGATTTTTAACAGAACGAGAGTTCTTCACTTTATCTTAATTTGCAATACTAAAAAACTTACAAAGTATATACTTTTTGACTTTTTAGGTGTCTGGGAGCGACCCACAACGAGTGAAGAGTATAAGCCGCCCACCGATGGGAGCACGGTGCTCCGATTTGACATCCTGCTGGCCCACATCATGCCTCCCGATGGCGAGGATGTGAAGATCAAACGCTTTGTGGTGTACGAGCTCACTGTGCGGCAGGATGGCGCCACGGAGGACACTCAGCCGGCCAAAATCGAACGTCGTTACACAGACTTTCGGGAGCTTTATCTGGGTCTAAAGCGGCTACATCCCGTGGAGATGGCCAACAAGTACTTTCCAGCCAAGGTGTTGATGGGTAACTTCAAGTCTGAGCTAATTGGTGAACGGAGCGCTGCCTTCGAGGCTTTCCTTACATATGTGGCGGGTCAGACGAAGCTCCGGGACTCTGAGGACTTTCTGCGCTTCCTGCAGCACGATGAACTGACCAGGGCGTGCCAGTTTTTAGATGAGCGGCGCAACGAGATGGCCATACCCATTCTGGAGAACTGTTTCCGTCTGCTGAACAAGATATACATGAATCGATCGCGACCCGTGCTCTTGATACTCTGTCGTCTGGTGGCTGCCTGCACATCCTCGCCAGTGCCTCATCATGCAGCCGAGAGGTGGGCTCTATTGGCACTAAGTCGCTTTGAGACGCTGTGCGACATTGATCTACTGCCTCTCTACATTCCCCTGCTCCACACCTGTGCCCACCTGTGGTAAGTCCAATCAAATCATCAGAAACAAGGAAACCCATAAGCTGAATTCATTATCCTTTAAGGTGGCAGCGTGGCCAGGACCAAAAGCCCATAACCGATCGACTGACTGACATGTCCAAGCAGGGCATCAACACTGCGAACACCGAGAACCTCATGCAGGCTATTCACAAGATCGATCCACGCACCGAAACCATTTGAATCGGAATATCCACCAGAGTTATCATACATTTTGTTTAGTAGTTTTTAGCCGTCAAGCGTAAAGTGCAATTAGAGAACATGTGCAATTAGTATTAAGGTGAAAGGAGTATTTATCAACCTTTAAGGTATCAGCAGTTTTTAACAATGCTGTTCGCCAAAGTAGATCGTTTAGGAACTTTCAGTCACAAAACACAAATTTACCCCCTTTTTTCTTACAAATATGTTTTTCTGTTCAATGTTTAATTTAATTTTTCAAGCCACGGACTTTAAAATTTAAACGTCAAATATTTTATTTGTTTGTAAATTCATAATCTCAAAATAATTAACATAAAATATTCTGTTGTCTACATTATTTATACATGTAATATTGCGACTATCCTAAAATCTGTATCCGTAATGTCCTACTTTGGTAACTTTAGGGTTAGTTTAAGCGTGTTTATGTTTCATATTACGTATTGTTTGATTTTGTTCGTTCGTCTCTGTAGTTTGTAGTACAAACTTTGTACCCAGTGGGAGTTGTGATTAAACAATGAACTATTTCCCCGCCCAAAGTGAATCACACACGTAGTATCGAGAGTTCATGACGCACAGTCTGCAAATCCAAGATTGGAACTCCATATCAGCCTGAAAAAATATTAGACAAATCGAACACAGCTCCCAGAGTTATTTATTCTTACAGCCCAATGCCTTGTGATTGCTTTTTTTCAATGAATAAATATTATACTCAATTGTTTTCCAGAATAGAAATCGTTGTCTGTCAGTTTCGGGCATTTTAAACTAAATGGTAGGTGTATATTTAATAATTGGTTTTACTATATGCTTATACTTGTTTATGAGTCATTTCGGGGTCTAAACTTAAGTCTAGGAGTGCACTAATTAGTAATTAACTTATTGCTATCCGCTGTGAGGATCTCTTGACCGCACTCAAAATGTACAATACGAATTATATATAACTTATTACGTCACACAATCGATTCAACTATAATATAAATAGAGGGGTACGTGCGTTTTTAACAAATTGTTAGCGCCCTTGCAACATTACATACATCATTCAAAATGTACAGAATCAACCAAATCCAGTTCCAGCCTCTATCCAATTAACGGAAGAGTCGCGTAAAGGTTTTCAAAGCTTGCGAAATTGCTTTCGTGGTGTCCGCTCTGCAAAGAGTATATTATGTTAGAAATAGTGTGAAATATATATAAGTAAATCCTCACCTCAGCACTGTGTTGCTAAATTCGTCCAACTGCTGCTGCGTGGCCGTCACATAGCCACCGCTGTTCTTTTTTGGCAGTGCCTCTAGAGCCTGGGCCAAAAACGGTTGCATTCTTTCATTGCCCACCACCTGCTTTAGTTCGTGCATCACCTCGGCCACATCAACCAGCATGTAGGAGTGCAGTTGGAAGACCGAAGCCTGGATCAGGTTCATCACCAAAGCACCGCCATGCTGATTGGCCAGCTCCACCACCAAGGGACGACACTCGACATTTCTACTGTGGTTATTCGTCCTGCCCCAGACCAACAGGTTAATAAAGAACTTCATCACCGAGGAGTTGGCCTCGCGGTGGTCCAACGAGCAGGCTATTAAAGCACACTGGAAGATCGGCGTGATCAGGCTACTCTGGAGCAGTTGTTGGGGACAGCAGTCCAAGTAGCGCGAGGCCAAACGGAAGAAGTCGTCCACGGTATCGGGGTTATTTTTAAGGCCGTTCTCCATCTGTAGCAGGCCAAAGGTGGGTTCGATAAATGCCTGCAGCATCTCCAGCAGACCGCCAATACATTCGCTTGACTTGGCAAACTCGTCCACCAGTATGGAGCCCACATAGAGGAAACAACTGTGGTGCTGCACCGCATATAGCACCACCATTTGCTTGATCAACGGTTCCACCAGCAGCATCGCCTGCTTTCTCACCATCCGGATGCCGTAACGGATCAGTCGACAGGTGCGCTCCATGATACGCAGGTCGCTTTGGTACTTATCCATTACCCGCGAGATCAGTGGCCAGGCGTCGTTCAGGATGGCCACCGTGGGGTGTTCCACTGAATCGGGAACGTCGGGACTCGTGTGCCGGATGATGGCGCATGCTCTGTCTATCCAGTAAACGGGATCGGTGCGTTCTCCCTTCTGAACACTTGTTCCACTACTGTCCACCAGCTGGGCCAGCGGTTGCAGCTGGAAGCCTACGATTTCCCGCAGAGCAGGCTGAAGTTGCTCTCGCGGCAGGCGGGTCAGAATAAGGGAAATGCCCTTCAGCAAGCCTATGGCCACATCGTTGTTAATCTGAAAGCTGTCCAGGCTGCGGGCGATCTCCACCAGACCGCTGATGTGACACACCATTTTTTGGCGGCAGGCGGAGCAAATGGAGGTCAATGCCATGGCCGCAGCTGGAGCCAAGCCATTCTTCTGCTGCAAGGCGTACAACAGAAAGTTGAGCACCGCCTCCAAGGATTCCGGATGGTTCTCAATCCAGTCGCAGAGCTCGCCAATTAGCAGGATCGCAGTGTATCTAACTGCTATGTGAGTTTGCTCTGACATATTCAGAATCGCTTCCACGACCTTGGGGATTACCTCGTTTTCATCTCTGCAAGGGAAAGGTTAGTATTATTAATCTGGTACTATCTGATTGGGTTTTATACGTACGGCAGTATATTTTTGGCCACATTTTGCATAATAAATAGCGCCGCTTCTGTAGATTCCCATGTGGTTTCTGGTGCTTGCAGGATGTGGAACATTTGCTTGAAGCATGCTCCAGATCCCACTATAAAGGCCACGTCTTTT